CGTCTTAGGACAACAGAATGGGTGGTGTCTCCAAGGACATGACACATTGCAAACTTGAAGAGGTTCTATCCCTGATGCATCCCTCAGGGTTAGGCCTGGGTTACTATGCCTCGAGTATTAAGCCTTGGTCTATCATGTCTTTGACATCAATTGTAAAAAATATATATTTTCAGGGTATAGGTGTTGCAAGTTAAGGAAAGAAAGTTTCATTACTTGAAAAGACTACACAAACTTAGTCAGAATTCGACATCCAAAATGAGATATTAGTCTACTAAGGTAGAGACGGGTCAAGTGGACGAACCCGATGATACAAGGAAAAGACACAGGGACTAATTCGGGTAGGTGGACTCGATAATTCAATAAAGACCAACACCTAACAAGACAAGACAAGGATCGTCGCCTCTTGAAACCTCGCAACTTGCTCGACGAGCTCATAGTTGTGTGCCCTCATCGAACTTAGCTCTCGATGAGGCATCGCTCGGCCTTTTTTAGTTGCCTCGCCAACATGATTTCTCGAGCTTTTACCTCAACAATAAGCGTTAGGTCTCCCCTTTTCCTCTTTAACCCCTCTACCTCATCATGAAGATTGTTGATCATGAGGGGTTGTTATTCAATAACAAAGCCAGCATCTCGTACACGGTCAAGATGGGTTGTGACGTAATGTTGATGCTATAAGTCAAAAAAAAAAAAGAGTACCTCGAAAAATACAAAAATAACTAATATATGAAAACTACCTCAGAAAGCATAAAAGTGACCAATGTATGAAGACTACCTCGGAAAGAGTATTAGTGACCAATGTGCGAAGACCACCTCAAAAAGTATAAAAGAAACTCGTTACAAGGGAAGGCACAAGATAAAATGTGTCTTATGAGTCAAGAAAGCCCAGCTTATATAAGAAGAAAATCATTATGATAGGAGGCATAAGATAAAATATGTTCGAGGCACGCCAATCGAAAAAACTCGACCCGCATAAGAAAAAACTCACCACAGCGGGAGGCATAAGACAAAATGTACCTGATACATATGAGTCAAGAAAACCCAATCCATGTAATAAGAAACCTATCACAATGGAAGACACAAGATAAAATGTGTCTGAAGTGCGTGAGTCAAAAAAAACTAACCCACATAATAAGAAACCTGTCATGACGAAAGGCACAATGTGAGATGTGTTAAAGACATATGAGTCGAGAAAACTCAACCCGCATGAGAGTAAGTTTGATGTGGCTACGTCGAGGCAAGGAGATCGAGAAACCCGACCCCCACTTTGCCAATGTGTGAAGGTTAGAAAATTTGACCCCCACCTTCACTCGAGATATGGAGGTCGGGAAGAGATGGGGAGGTCGGGAAACCCAACCCCATTTGATCAGGGTGCGTTCCTTGACGATACAAGGGGTAGGTCAGTGATGGATCGCCACTAGCAACTTTCAAGCATAATTAACTAAACGTTACACTTCGGTTCCATCTCGCGAGAAGTAGTTGGAGGCAATTAGAGGTTACTTTCCTGTAGAATATTTTATAAAATCTTTTACCTCTTTACAACTAGTACGATCATATATAAAGCTCATCTTCAACATAATAAAAAGAAGAGTTATCTTTTTTTACCATGCACATCCACACTCATATATCTCGGAGGAACCGAGTTGGGAAACCCTTCCCGACCTCAGTCTTCATGTAGGTGGCATCTTAAAAACTCAACATTTGTATGTTAGAAGCATCTCGAATAACCTCAAAAGTATCTCAGTGCATATGGATCCAGGCCACGACGAACTGATTAGGACATCAACAACTTCATCTCTAATAGTAGGTATTGACCTCCATCCCAAATCTATTCTCCTTTAAGCCGTTTTAAGTTCATAAATCTTGAAAGCT